ATTTATTTATTTTTTTTTTTTTTTGCGGAACCGGGGATTGAACTCAGGTCCTTGAGCTTGCCAGGCAAGTGCTTATTCCACTGAGCTATCTCCCCGGCCCCTAATGATGGGTGGTTTTTATAAGACATGTGGACACCAACAGACAGGAGGAACATGTCACAGAGGACGGCGAGAGGATAGGTGACCACCCATAAGCCCAGGACAGGGGCTTCAGGGGAAACCAACACTGCCCACCTGACCTTAGACCTCCAGCCTGCAGACTCTGAGAAAGTAAATTTCTATGGCCTAAGCCCTACGTTTGCTACTTTGTCACAGCTGCAGACAAATGCACATTCCCGCTGCACAGTGACCGCAGAACTCTCAGCAGGCGCTGGCCACTCCGTGGCCTTATTCTCCGCCCGTGCATTTAGTGTCTCATGTGTGGTGTTGGCCTCTCTGTCTCCAGAGGGTTCTGTCCTATTGGAGGGAAAAGCAAACAGACCATGCTGGTGAGGTAAAGGACCAGCCCTGGAGCTGGGTGGACACGACTGTGGGGGAGCCTCTCATACTTAGCCCCCGCATCCCACTTCACTCCTTGGAAGGGTTATGTCCGCCTCTTTTTCCTAGTACCATGCTATGGACAGGCATATGCTGGCTGGCACAGTGGTGGTTAGATGGGCAGACAGCCCAGCCTTAGGAGTGCGTCCCCAACAAAGGGCAGCTCCTGCGTCCTTCTGGGCTGCATGTGGGGTCCCATATTTGGCATCAGAAGTAGAGTCCTTTGACTCTCTTGTTTTTTTAAAATTTTATTTATTTATTTGTGTGTGTGTGTGTGTGTGTGTGTGTCTGTGTCTGTGTGTGTCTGTGTCTGTGTGTGTCTGTGTGTGTCTGTGTGTGTGTGTGGCCAGCTCAGCCCACCAGGGGGCGGGGCTGGCTGGCATGTGGTGCTGGGGGATTGAACCGTGGTCCCTGTGCTTTGCTAAGCTTGTTCTAAGTAGGTGCTTTAGACCACTGAGCCATCTCACCAGCCCCAAAAGGAGGGCTTTATTTTATTTTTTTAAATTTTTTTATTATTATTATTATTAATTTTTTTTTTCAGAACCAGGGATTGAACTCAGACCCTTGTGCTTGCCAGGGAAGCGCTTATTCCACTGAGCCATCTCCCCAGCCCCCCACTTGGACTCTCTTGTGACCAAGGGTCAGACTACTCCAGGCCCACTCCTGGATGTGGCCCTGGGCAGCTCTCGCCACCTCTTCCAGCCTTGATCTCCTTGAATGGGAAGCAGGAACATTAGAGAAAGCACAGCGGCAGCAGGCCAGAGACAGACAGCTACTCTGCTGCGTTCACCCCCAGGCAGCCACTGAGGTTAGGCACCATGTCTGCTAACTGTATCCTGGTACAGCTGCACAGCAGGCCGGGTGTCACAGCTCACAGTGATGCTCCCACTGGCCACCAGGAGAGGCAGTCAGAAGCGGCTGGAGGCGGACAACAGGATCCGGTGAATTCCACTAGGCATTCTCCAAGGGTGAGGTCACAACTCTGGCTCCCCAGGGCTGCCCAAGGCCAGAGGGAGGGGGCAGTGGCAGGGGCCAGGGCTGGCACACTGGGCCCAATTAAGCCTGGCACTGGGTCAGGCCCTCTCCCTCCCCTGGTGGGTGCCTGGCCTTATCTTGGGAAGCTGGTGTTTCCTGTTTGAGCTGCAGCTTCGAGAGGCAGAGCTGGAGAGGGAAGCAAAGTGGCTGCCACTTGTCCAGCTGCCATCAGTGACAGTGTGCTGCCACTTGTGGAGCCACTTAATCCTTCCCAGGGCCTAATTTGCAGGGAGTACAGTTGGGGCTCAGAGTGGTAAAAAACCTTGGCCCAGAAGGCAAACCGTCTGGCGAGTGGGTAAGAAACAGAAGCTCGGGGTGAAACGTGTCTGGGTGGTAATCGAGATCCTGACACCCCTTCATGCCAAGTTACTCCACTTTCCTCATCTGTAAAATGGTGTAACAGTCCCTCCCTCTGGAGGTTATGTGAAGACTTGGTGAGACCACACAGGTAATGCCCTCTGCAGGCACGAGACACCATTATCACTGTTTTACATACATTTTTTTTAAACTTTTATTTATTCATTTCATACAGGGTTTCGCTATACAGCTCGGACTTGTAGTGAGCCTCTTGTCTCAGCCTCCTCCATGCTGGGATTACGTGCTTGGTCTTGGTGGCTGGTGCAGAATGGAGTACCAGGGATCGAACCCAGGTCCTTGCACTTGCCAGGCAGGTGCTTAGACCACCGAGCTATCTCCCCAGCCAATTACCCCTTTACTGACGTGAAAAACAAGTCTCAGGATGGAGAAGCAGCTTGCTTGATGTCACACAACTAGCAGGTCCCACCCAGGGTCTGCTGTGAACCCAGATGTGATTGTTCCCACCCAGATTTCCTGGGGAGCCACAGACCAGCCCAGGCCTGGGTTCGGAGTCACATGTGCCACTGGTGCTCCGGGCAGCGAGGAGGAGCTGTGGCGGCATCCTGCCTGCGAAGGACGTGGCCTGGCATTGTTTTCACTCTTCTTAGCCCAGGTCCACATGAGGGATTTCCGCAGCCTTGTCAGAACAGGCTTCACTTTCCAGAAAAACGTTCCCCAGGTGGCAAGGGGGGCCCTCACTGGGCAAGGACTGCTGGGAAGGGCAGCAGGGACAGTACTGTCAACATCCTGTTGATCCCACAGGTCCTAGACCCAGAGTCCACCCTTCTCACTGATCTCTCCTGCAGCCCTCTGTGCCTCAGTGTTGCCTTAGGCCAGCAAAGTTGGGGCACTTGGATTCAACTCCTAGCCTCACACAAGTGTCTGTCAAGCCTCAGCAAGTCTCCCCGTGCCTGTGCCCTCAGGAGGGAGGCTGATGATAGCTCCAGTCCCCTCATACTCCTGACAGCCACCAACCAGGTCCTTGTTCCGGGGTCCCACTCAGTTCCCTCCTGTGTTCCGCAATTAGCAAGAAGCCATGGGGAGATAGGCTGGGAAGATAGCTCAGTAGAATAAGTGCTTGCCTGGCAAGCACAAGGGCCTGAGTTCAATCCCTGCTTGGGGGTGGGGGGGTGGGGGAGCCATGGTAGTGACCACAAAATGTTCACTCTGAACACTGGGTAAGCTGGGCACTAGGACAATGGTGGGAAGCCATATCCCAGGATGCTTTGGGCCTTGGAGCCCTTTGTGGGATTCCCCACAGGAGGCGGGAGGCTATAAGCAGCTATGAGGCCCCTGCAGCTGTGCCCCCTACCCTGATCCTTGAGCCCTACAAGGCACCCAAGGCCACAGCACACCTGCTGCCAGGGCCAGCGCCAGCATTGCCTGGTGAGGGCAGTGCTGTGGAATCAGGATCACCCTGCAGCCTCTGCTCACAGCATGACTCAGCCAGTAGCAGCCTCAGTGACGCACTGCTGACCTGGGACAGCCAGGGCCCGGACGTGGGCTCTCCTCCCCTCATGAGGCACCTGTGAAGGCTTGGGCAGTGAGGTGGCCCTGCTCAAGCACTGGACCTTCGCACTTCCCACACCCTCAGAAGTGAAGGGGCTAGGCCCCCAACCTGGGTTCACAATTGGCAAGGTCCCTCCTAGAGGTGACCTTGGGCAAGTCAATTTCTCCCAACCAGTTTCACTTATAATATGGAATACTTGCCTCATGAGAGTGGAATTAAATGAGGTAATACGCGTAGAAAGTGCTTGGCGAACGGTACCTTTTAAGGAGTGGCAGTGGGGTGCAGCACAAGGGCCCATCCCTTAGCCCTGGCTGGCTGTTACTCAGCCTTTGATCAGCATCTCTGTGTAAGAGCCCACAGGCTTGCTGCCCTGTCAGCTTATGGGGAGGGCAGACTCACTCGCTTTTTAAAATTTCGAGACAGGGTCTAGCTATGTAGTTTAGGCTGGCCCTGAGCTCTCTGGGTAGCCCAGGCTGGCCTTCAGCCTCTCAAGTACAAGGATTTTAGGGGTATAGAAACACGCCTAGCTCAGTCACACGGAGACAGGAAGGCAGGGTCTGGGCCCCAGCAGGGTACTCACTACTCCATGACCTGAAATGTGCTTGGTAAATTCTGTGCAGATCTCACGTAGGACAGGTGAACGAGGCTCCTAAAGCCCCTCATGGAGCTACTTCAAGGGAGGCACAGGACCTCCCAGGGGGTCTCTCAACAGGGGCGGCTCATTTCTCTTGCTCACTGCCCGTAGCCTGTGCAGAAGTCTCCATACACGCTTCCTTTACCCGCTACTGCCACTCGCTGGCTTTGTTTCCACTTGCCATTTACAGATCACGGACCCAGTCCTTCAGAGGCCATAGGTCTCCCTGAGCCAGCGCTTTCCCTGCCTGCATCAGCGGTGGCAGCCTTCCCAAAGCAGTTCTGGGCAGCCTCGGGCAGGACTACCCGGAACAGGTGGAGCCACTGGAAAGACAAGACGCACTGGCCCTCGGGCAAGCGTGCCCAGGGCCGAAGGGCAAGGTGTGAAGACAGACATGGGATCCGGTACCCAAAGCCTGTAAGCTCTGCTGGCTCGCCTGGGCAACAAAGCCAGCATGGCCCTCAGCCCTGGGAAGGACAGGCTGGGCCTACTGCGGTAGAGGGGACCTGGGAACCAGGAGAGGTTGAGGGGCAGGCTGCTGCAAGACCCTGGACTTTCCACAGACAGGAAGGCAGGCCAACCCTTTTGGGGCCAGCCAGGAGCGGCCAGGAGCCAGCTGCGAGAACCCAGAGGACCCAAGCAGACCACTGCGAAGAGCTCAGGTTTCAGAAGCAACACACTGGGCAGAAACCATACGCAGGCTGTGGGCTCGCCTCCCGGCTGGGTAACATGGGCAGCACACTCTAGCCTTCAGGGAGCTTAAGATGTGTTTGTGGTGTTCCCATAATGGCAGTCACCAAGGACAAGAATGTTAGTGACAAGAGGGGCTGGTTAGGGAGAGGATGGTGGAGTCGGTGGAGGACACAGGGACAGTCATGGAGCCCACCAGTGTCCCAGGGCTCAGAACCCCACTGTAATGGAAGCTGGTGACAGTTTGAGCCCCAGGTTTATTGTTCTGGTTTGTTCAGTTTCACCACCTGCTCACAGCACCAAGGTCCTGGCCAATGGCAAGAAGGTGCCTGGAGCTTTGCAGGTCAAGGGGCTGCCCAGCAGCCCAGCACTGTTGTCCTGAGGCTGGGAGGAAGGCGGAGGGAAAGGAGGAGGGCAGCTACAGGGATCTGAGTGCAGGGCCCCGAGGTCTGTTCTTCATAGCAGGAGGCAGAAGAAATCGCATAAAGATCTTTATTACAGACCTACAAAAAATGAGAGAATTATATATTACTCTCACTTGTTTGGCTTCTGGTTTCCTTTTTCGTTTTACAAAACAGCAGCAGGAAAGACAAACACAGCAGGCTGAGGAGCCGGGCTGGGGTTCAAGTCAAAGGGACCAAGCTAGTGCCATGGGTAAGCCGCACAGCAGGCCGGCCCCAGGCTCTCGCTAGCATCTTGGGAGCAGTGCCATGGGCCTTGGAGGGAGGGGACAAAAGGAGTGGGTGAGAAGACAATCCCCCCGACCGGCAGCACCCTTCCTCCTGATGGCCACAGCAGCAGGCCAGCTCAGAAGCACTAGCAGCTCCGTGGTCTCCAAAGCACAATGCCTGGGGAGCAGACGGGGACAGTGGGAAGGGCCGAGGTCTACTGGGCTCCCTTGCAGGACCGGGTCTCAGGGGCAAGGGCAGTCAAGACTCTTCCCTGCTTGTCAGCCGATCAGCTTCTTCAGAAAGGCCTCCAGCTGATCCTCATCCTTGATGCCCACAAACTTGTCCACCACATCTCCATTCTTGATGGCCAGCACAGTGGGCACAGCAGATACCTGGGTGAAAGGGACAAAGTGTCTGAGTCACTGTGGAGAAGGCTTGGGCGCATCCAGGGCAGAGATTGCTGAAAGCCATGGGTGGGACCAAAGCAAAGGGGCCCTTCCCTTGGGGTACCAGCCAGAGAAACTTCTTCCACTGTGAGCTCCCAGCAGTACCCTCTTCCCTCAACCACACAACTGACTCACTGGCCCAGTGGTTTGGCTGGAATGACAGCAGTGATGAAAATAACCCGTGCAGCTGCAGCTGCAGCTGCAGCCCAGGAGCTGGGGGCAGTGGGGAATTCTGGCTTTGCTGCTCACTGGTCAGGTCATGCTACTTTTCTTCATCTGAGGCCTCCTCCATAGAGCCGGGAGGGTAACTTTTTTTTTTTAAAGGACAATGTCTACCTTGAGGGTTTGGCCTAGGGATTAAGACTTTGCACACAGCACTGGGTAGTCAGGGGCTCAGGTTTTGCTAACCTGACCTGGCTCCTGCCTGCTGGGCGAACCTGGCCAGCCTGTGTCACAGGGTTCAAAGCTGTGAGCAAAGATACTAACAGCCCCTATGGTAGAACGTAAGAAAGCAACAGGAAACACTGACAGTCCTGTCAGCCCAGGACTGGCATCATGCCTGCCACATGGCGGGCACTTGACAAAGGGTGGTTACAGAGGGCCCCACAAGGGCCACTTCTGAGTACTGCTGTGGTTTGCAGGTCCAGAGATACCCAGGCCCCTCCAGGATCAAGCACGGCAGGGCAGAGCCACGCAGGACCTGAAGTTTATCAGGGCCAGAACGCACGGGAAAGGCGGCATTCCTGGCCTGTGAGGCACCGGCTCCAGCACCTCAGGACCCACACAGATCACACAGAGCACGGGTAAGGCCAGGCCCCTGCTGGCATCGAGTGTTCCCTGCTGTCAGGACTCCCTGCCTGGCATCTGAGAAAACGAGATGCAGAGTTTCTTATGGACCAGCCTCACAACCCTTGCTCCTTGTGGCAGGCTCATCCCTCTCCTGATGGACACTGTGGGGACAAACAGAGCAGGTAAGGAAACACTTGGTGTCCTGGGGCAGATACAGGTGGCAGCTGACACCTCTCAGAGGCTATGTGCCAGGAGCAGGCGCTCGCCTGACCAGGAATGTCCCTGCTGGTTCCCTGTCACAGATTTGGGCATAGGGTCCGGCACCCGATCGCCTGTCTCCAGGTTGGAGCAAAGGGAAGCTGCTACCGGAAGCACCATCCAGTGTTCTTGGGCGCCATCTAGCGGCCTGCAGAGGCACTGAGGCCGCCTCAAGGTAGGCAGCTTGGTATTGGGGCAGAAGTAACACCTGGCTTTCAATTTCACACTTGGTAGATGCCATCTCATCCATTAAATGCTTTACACCGTTGTTCATGACGTGCTCTCAGACAGGGGTGGAGCTCAGTGGTGAAGCACCTGCCTCGCATGCACGAGGCCCTGAATTTCATTCCCAGCACCTAAAAAAAGAAAAGTGGTCTAACTTCTTTTTCACAGTCCTCTAAGCAGGCCTAGAAGCTCACCCACGCTAAGTGGATCTGGCTCTCCTGGGTACCAGCTCGGCGCCTGCTGGCTGGCACACACACACAGATACACTGTCGATGTCTTATTCTCCTGACATCCAAGGTCTGGTCACTATGGGTCAAAAGGATTGTCTGCACGCGCGCGCGCGCACACACACACACACACACACACACACACAGCTGGGGTTCGCTGCAGCTGGGCCTCAGGACACAGAGGGCTCTTTGGGCTGGGCCAGGGGATGTGGATATGGCCCTACTGCCCAAGTCAGTACCAGCCAGGAGGGCCTGGTGCTGGTAAAGAATGCCATCAGTGGACACACATAGGCCCTCAACTCTTTTGAAAAGGTGACCGGATCATGAGATGCAGTGATGGAGAAAGGCTTGGCCTCTCAAATCTGGTAGGACCAAGGGACAGAGGGGCTGGAGCAAAGGAAGACGTGCTAGGACCTGTTCACGGCCTCCTGCTGACAGGCCACCTGGAGCCTGTGGGCCAGGACACCTAGGGCAGCAGGGTGCAGCATGTGTGCTGTCCCTTCCCAATGACCCAAAGCTGGCCTGCAGGGGCACCGAGCTCAATGTCCCTGTTGTCTTCTGCCCTTCTGCCTCATCCATGAGGTAACTCTGCTAAGGACCTGCACACAGACACCCTCAGCACTCTGTCCTAGGACAGTGGTGACATTCTCAGCCAACTGCAAAATAAACAGCAAAGACCTTGCCACATACGTTGTCAGGGATAATGCTAGACACTTACATATGCTAGCGCTCAGATTTCTGCTTCTAGGAAGGGCTATTTCTTTTGCAGTGTGGAGCATGGAACCCAGGGCCTTGCACATGCCAGGAAGGGCTCCACCTGAGCCACACCCACGCGCTCACAGAGGCGCACTTTAGACACAGGAAGACCGAGTGACTGCTCCAAGATCACACAGTGAGTTTCATGGTGCAGCTGGGACCTGGAACTACTGACTTCGCTGTTGTGACATCAAACCATGCTCTGCTGCTCGGGCCCAAGAGGCAGGGGAGAGAACAAAGGACAGATCCCCAGTTGCACTACAGACTTGTGTGACGATGTGGTGTCGTCCAGAGCGTATGGGTGAGCTGTTCTTTCTCTTTTTTTGGACACAGGATCTTGCTACAACCCAGGCTGCGCTTGTTGGCCTTGAACCCCAACGCTTCCTGCTTTGGCTTCCTGAGTGCTGGGATCACAGGTATGTACCACCGAGCCTGGTGAAAAAGAATCTAGCAACAAAAGTATCAGTGGCTGCCATGGATCGAGGGGGCATGGCGGGGAGGAAAGATGAACTGTTAGCTCATAGGCAACTCACTGGGTAGTGAAAGCCCCCAGCATGACGCTGTGACGCTGGACACAGCTCACAACAGCCCATACCCACAAGGGAAAAGCTTTGCTGACAAGCACCCTGCACTCACAGTGGCAGGTGAGAGGGGCTTGCACAGGGCGGCACCTCAGGGTGAGGCCTTGAGAGTGTTTGCTTCTCCGTGTCCAGTCTGGGGCCCCAGCACTGGAGGAGTCACCTAGGAGCTTGTCAGAGACGCAGAATCGTGGGCCCTTTCTGAACTAACAGAATTATAATCAGTTTTTTTTTTTGTTTGTTTTTTTTTTTTGCACCACAAGGGACTGAACCCAGGGCCCTGTGCATGTAAAGCAGGTCCTAAGAGCACTGAGTTATGGCCCCAGCGCTATTTCTACTTTTTAATAGTATCTCAGATCATATTCATGTTTGCAAACCTGGAATATTTCCAATGTAGGGAGAAATGGAAATGATTAATAACGTGTACTGGGGCCGGGAGATGGCTCAGTAGAATAAGCGCTTGCCTGCCTGGCAAGTGTAAGGGCCACAGTTCAACCCCTGGTTCTGCAAAAAAAAAAAAAAAAAAAAAAAAAAAAAAATGTATTTACTATTTAAAGAATTGCTTATCTAATTATGGAACATTAAAAAAAAACAAAACTGCCATGCCAAGTGGTGACAGTGGCTGTGTCTGAAAGGCCAGGGCAGTGACTGCCCTCGTCTCCAGGGACCATCTGGACAGCAGGCAGTGGGAAGAAGGGTCCACTGGAACCCCCAGGCTCCCAGGATCACCCCACATCAGGCTCCCTGGAAGGCACAGGTGAGCACCCTGGGAACTGCCATGCCCGCGCAGCCCTGCTGGGGGACGTGGGCTCTCTTCTGCACTTGCTCCAGTGCCCTGCTCTGTGGCGGGAGCCGAGGTGTCTGCTGCAGCCGAACTGCAGTGCCTGGGAGTGTCAGGAGCCGGTGTGGACATTGCCCCACAGTCCAGTGCAAGTCCCAGAAGCTCCAACCCTAAGCTCACAGTCACACCTTCAAGGCTGAAGCTGCTGCGGCCTCAGGGTAGGGGATGCACAAGGAAGGGAAAGCCAGGGTGTGTAAAGCCATTTATAGCAGTCCTTGCCACTGGAGGCTTTGTCTGCCCAGCATCTATTTCCCAGCTTTTGGCCAGGGCAGCATTTCTTTGGGTTGTCACCTTTCTCCCCACCCAGCTCAATGGCAGCCTGCTGGTCCCACCCTGCCCCACCCTCCCCATTCATTTCCTGCCCCAGCACCCAGAAGAGTGACCGAAGGGTGGCACCTCCACCTGGGCCAGTCTGGTGAGAGTTAAGCCTGGGCTTGTAAACTCTGGAACAAAGAGGCCCCTCCCACAGACGTTTGTGACCCAGCTGGCCATCAGAAGTGGGTGGGACAGGCTCACAGCCTCCAGTGGGCCCCCAGTTCTGCAGTATCACTCTTCAGAGTGACTGTCAAAGACCCCAGTTTGGTTTGCTTCCTGCTACCTGCCCTCCTGCTCCTTGCTCAGTCCTCCACTCTGGCCACCCAGCCACAAAGGGACCACCCCCAGGCCCCTGCTGGTGGATCTCCAAGGCCCAGAGGACATCCCACCTCCCTGGGGCATCTCCTGCTCTATGCACCAGGCCCTGTTGGCTTGGGAGGCTCCTGAGCTCAGGGTCTTCATGTCTCATCTCTTGATCCTTCCGAAGATCCACAGGCTTCATTCTGCTCACATCTCTCAGCTTTCTTTAACTGTTCGGAAGTATTAGGGGTTGAACCCAGGGCCTTTGCACTAAGTTACATCCCCAACTCTTTTTAGTATGAGGCAGGATTAGCTAAATTGTCTAGGTGGGACTTGAACTTTCCATCTTCCTGCCTCAGCCTCCAAGAGTGCTGGGTTACAGATGTGTGCCACCACTGGATTTGGCTCACCCTTTATTTATGTATTTGCAGTACTGGGGATAGAACTTAGGACCTTACACTTACTGGGCAGGTGCTTATGCCACTGAGTTATCTCCCCAGCCCTTTTAAAATTTTTTATTTTTTGGGTACCAGGAATTGAATTTGGGACCTTGTGCTTGCCAGACAGGTGCTTATGCTGCTATCTCCCTGGCCTTCAGCACCCCCCTCCCCATATTATTCATTGAATTTTAGGAAAAGGTCTGTAGGGTGTTCAGGATCTCACTACTAGATCAGATTTGTAGTGATCCACCTGTTTACAGCTTCCCAAGAGCTGGGATTACAGGCCTGCACTGCCACGCCCAGTCTCAATTGCTGTCTCTGCAAGCCCAGGGGCAGGGCCGCATGGCAGGCCCAGGGATCACATCCCGGCCCCTGTACCTGCTTGCAGGCACTTTAATCCACTGAGCTATTTGGCCAGCCCTGAGCTCACCCTTTTAAGAAAGACCTACCTACACTCGGCGTTCCCACACTCCCTTCTTGATTTTCTTTTTTCCACAGCATTTATCACAGGCCAAATTTTCTTTCTTTCTTTTTTTTTTTTTTGCGGAACTGGGGATTGAACTCAGGCCCTTGCACTTGCCAGGGAAGCGCTTATTCCACTGAGCCATCTCCCCGGCCCCCACAGGCCAAATTTTCTTTACCTGCAATGCTTGGAAGCAGTAATGTTTTAAGATTTTATTTAATTATTTATTTGTGTGTGTGTGTGTGTTTGTGTGTTTATGGCCAGCTCAGCCCACCAGGGGGCGAGGCTGGCTGGCATGTGGTGTTGGGGGGATTGAACCGTGGTCCCTGTGATTTGCTAAGCTTGTTCTAAGTAGGTGCTTTAGACCACTGAGCCATCTTACCAGCCCAGCAGTAATGTTTTAGATTTCAGATTTTAAAATATTTACATACACTTAACAGGTCAAGAGTCCCTAATCCAGGGCTGGGGAGATGGCTCAGTAGAATAAGCACTTCCCTGGCAAGCGCAAGGGCTTGAGTTCAATCGCCAGTTCCACAAAAAAAAAAAAAAAAATCCCTAAGCCAAAAAACTCCAAATCTGAAATGTTCTAAAATCTAAAAACTTTTACAACACCAATGCTGACAGTTAACGTGCACCAAAAACGGAGGTCAGCAAACTCTGGCCTCAGCCTGCTGCCTGTAAACAGAGTATCTTTGGGACACGGCCATGATCTTCCATGTGGTCAGTGTCCAAGGCTGCTTATGGCTACAAGGACAGCTCGGTGCTTACAGCAGGGACTACTGTCCACAAAGCCTCAAATATTTACACTTAGTCAGTCCTTTAGAAAAAGTGTGCTGACCCGTGACTCATCCACATGGCTGCACTGAAGAAGGTTCTACAATCTGAGGTACAGGATCTCAGGACAAATCCTGAGGGCATTTCACTGACCTTCTCAGACCAAAAAGCTACAACTCTTGTTGCATAGGTCCTGCTTTACCTTGGTCTTAACCATCCAGTAGAAAAGTATGAAGTCGAAATATAAGAAATAAAGCCATGCTGTTGGGTTGAGCTGTGGGGGACTCAGGTCAATAATTTCTGACATTGCCAGTTAAATATAAGACCCAATGCTATTATGGACTACTGGACTCTTTTAGAATATTTTGCTGAGTTTACACACCTATAATATTCAATAACGGAACTTAGAAAAAATGGGGTATACCGATGAATGTCCATTTTGTATCTGTGTATTCAAAGAGGTTGGGATAGATATATAGTTGCATTCTCTTAATGAATAGAATGATTTGTTCTAATGGTGTTTGTAAATGGGATCACAAGTCCGCATCTTGTACAGCAATTAACCACTAAGAAGAATAGATGCAGTGTATTGTTTGTTGAAACTGTCCTTCCGATATGATTTGAAACTGTCTCATTGCTATCTGTTTGTCAATAAAACTTTGAAAAAAAAAAAAAAAGTGTGCTGACTCCTGACCTAAATACCAGAATGGTATTTTGCATACAGGCTCCATAGGAAGGCTGGGCGTCAGTCAGTTTTGGTCCTAGTCACATCCTTTGCCCCAGTAACAATGCCTGGCAACTAAGGGCCTCGCAATAACCATCTGCTGGAGGACCCTGCAGGGCAGCTGATCTCGCGAGACTGTGTCACATCCTGGCGCTGTGCCACTCTCTCCGTGCAGCCTCAGCGGTCACTCAGAGGTCTCTCATGCCCTGCCTTTCCTGTCCATACCTTCGCCCAAGAACAGTGCGCACCTTGCTCCTCTGCTGCCTCACCACACAGCCCTTCTCATCCCACGCTGCAATGACCCATCTGCCTGTTGCCTTTTCCCAACAGACCAACAGTGGCTTGGGGACAAGGACCAGCCTTTGTCTGTTCAGGAATCATGCACACTGGCACAGGGGAGGGCTCATAAATGACTGGAGTGCACATGCAGATGAAGAAAGGGGGGACAGGAGGGAGGAAGGAGGAAGGGAGGGAAAGAAAGAAGAGAGGAAGGACGGGAGGGAGGGAGGCAGGCAGCAGGCATCAATGACCTGGCGCCTGGGTCACAGAAGCACCTCCTCAAGGAAGTAGACAGACAAGTGACTGAGGACAAAACAGCAGCCACAAAGCTCTCCAAGCTCCTAAAGTCTAGAAAAATCCTGGAACACCTCTTACCGATGATGGTCCCCGTGAGATCTTGTCCTCTGGCTGCCCTCAGGCCCCACCCCTCATTCTCCACCCACTGGCAACCCTGACAATCCTTACCTCATACTCGATGGCCAGGTCTGTGTGGTCATCAATATCCACCTTGGCCATCACCACCTTCCCTTGCAGCTTGGCCACCATCTTCTCTAACCTTGGCCCCAGGATCTTGCAGGGGCCACACCACCTTGGAAAGAGAAAGGATACACTTAGTCCAAGAGTGTGCACCGCCCCATCTGCTGTGTCCGTGGAGTCCCCCTGGACCCACAGGGCCCCTGTGAACTCAGGATTCCAGGCAGAGATGCTGATGAGAAGAGTGTCTCCAGATACCAGCACTCCTGGCAGCACCTTCTCAGCTCCTCCCGCACAGAACCCATAAGAGAAAGCATCCTCCAAAGAAATCAAGGCCATGTGAATTAAGAAACCTGTGTGGGTGCAGGGGAGATAGCTCAGCGAATAAACGCCCAACTGCCAAGTCAAGGTCCTAAGTTCAATCCCCAGTACTTCAAACAAACAAACCAACCTGTGCAAGACAGCAGAGGTCAGGGCCGGGGAGATGGCACATGGCTCAGTGGAATAAGTGCTTCCCTGGCAAGTGCAAGGGCCTGAGTTCGATCCCCGGTTCCAAAAAAAAAAAAAAAAAGACAGCAGAGTTGGGACTGTAAGTCAAGGCTATATTCAAAGTGTTTCCTCTGGGCTACTCTGTGATCCCTCAGCAATGTACAACTGCTGTCACTGCCCTGCTCACACTGCATTGGGGAGGGCACTGTTCTAGGACTGAGCTGTCATCTCTGTATGTGGCCCTAAAGGGTGGCAGCACTGAAGGAACCAATACGTACCTTCCTAGAGCTGCTTTGGGAGCCCTATCACCACAGCAAGGAGGCCACGATAACTTTACCTCTACAAGTCTCTGACAACTACTCAGCCCTTAACACCCTTTCCATTCAGAGACTTCAATTGATGGCACACACAACCCTTATATAGCACATCTCTGAAACCTTATCTCCAATTACAAAGGGAGTACAAGAATATCAAATGGCTGGCCCAAGGCTGCAAGGTTGGAACCACAAAGGAAGCAAAGGCTCTCTTAAAGCCTAGCCTGAAAAATCTCCCAATTTCTAACTCAGATGACATTGGTCCCCACAAGTCTCACTATGAGAGAGGGGTCCGTCTGGACCCCTTTTTTGCAGATAGTGACTGGCCAAGGCCTAGGGGTTCGGAAATAAAAAGGGCCAGATGAAAAATCAGCCACAGGCATCTGCATATTTCTTAAACTTCTCCAGCACTCTGGACTTCCTCCAGCCATCCCCTGTACACATGGGCACCTGGTAAGGTTCTGTCAGCCCTCCCCAGTTTTAGTGGCAAGACATCAAAATACAGTTAACTTATCTGTAGCGCCAGGAATTGTTATGCCCAGATAATACTTGGGCGCTATTCTTTTTTTTTTTTTTTTTCTAAATTTTATTTATTTATGCGTGTGTGTGTGCGCGTGCGCACGTGCGCGCGTGGCCAGCTCAGCCCACCAGGGGGCGGGGCGGGCTGGCATGTGGTGCTGGGGGATTGAACCGCGGTCTCTGGGCTTTAGCTAAGCTTGTTCTAAGTAGGTGCTTTAGACCACTGAGCCATCTCACCAGCCCCTTGGGCGCTATTCTTCCAACACTGGTCCAAGCTGACGAGTACTCTGAGTTTTTTGGTCAGTGAGACACAGAATACAGATGTTTCCCAGCAATAATAACAGCCAGCTCGGAAGACTGTTTATTAGTCCCCGTCTCCCATCCCACCACAGGCTCCTTGAGAGCAGGGCCTAGTCTTATCAGTCTTTGCAATGAGTCTAATAATGAGAAGGACCAAATATAGTCCTTAGACACAGCAGGCACTAATATATACTTAAACAAGTAGGACCCTGATCTTTCACTAATCCCACTACTCACTGTGCATGGAAATCCACAACTACTGGTGTCTCACTGTTGACCACTCGGTCCTGAAAGTCAGGTCCATCCTGGATGTTAAAGGTTGTTGAGCGTACTCTGGTGGTGAAGATGGTCCGGGCTGGGCTGGGTGTGAGTGTCAGGGCGCCGGGACTGCACTGTGGGGTCTGCAGGGCCTTGGAGGCGAGGGGTGCCCACTGTCCCTGCGGGAGCTTCCTGGAGACGGTGGAGGCCAGGAACCTCCTCAGGAGAAGTCGCTGGGCCATCTAGGAGGGAAAGAGGCAAGAGAAGCTGGGGTACACTGCAGGAAGTCATTCGGAAGCACTGGGGTGGGGTTCAGGAAGACATAGCTGGAAGCAAAGTGCAAGATAATATGTAACGTGTAAGATTTCTGGGGTAGAGGTCAGTGAAGAAACGCGAATCAAAGGGAAGATGGTAAAAGTGGAGGACAGGAAAACTGAGTTTCCAACTAAAAAGAAATTGAGGTCTACATGCAAGTATTACAGAAGGTCGGGAGGGACGAAACATTTGCAGACCATCTTCATGACTGATTCTCTTAAAACAACTCAGAAAAGCTGCTTTAGTGTCGCCTATTTCACAAGGAATCGAAGGCTCAGACAGGTTGACATACCCAAAGTAACCCAACTATTAAGAGACAGTCAACAGTGGAACCCAGAGCTACCCATAAAGTCCTTAGTGTATTACCTTTGAAAACATGTTTTAATGGACAATTAAAAAGGGGGGGAAGGGTCACGTAAAGATTCACAAAGAGGAACCACTACTAGTGGAACTCGAGGCGCAGGAACAAGGGGGGCGGGGACCAAAAAAGAAGGGACCAGTGTGGAGGGAACCAAAGCGGATGGACACGTGTCGAGGGAAGTGGGAAAACAAGACGCCGGCAGGGACCTCAGCTCTCCAGAGGGCCACATACCCTGCCTGCTCGCAGGCAGCTTTCGCTGGAGCACGCATGAGGCGTACTTGAGCAGCGACACCACCCTAAGCCACCCCCATAGGTTTCCTACCTCCAGGAGGAGCGAGCAGAGAGATGTACCACCCAGCCCTCCCCACCCGTCAAGGGCACGTCCGTCGTCACTTCCTCGTGGGCGGGCCTTTTAGCGTCACTTCCGGGGCTAGGTCATTTGGGGGGCGGTTCAGTTTTTTTTTTTTCTGCCAATGGGAATGACAGAATAAGGCACAGCTGAGGGGCGGAGCTTCGTGTTGGAACCGGAAAAGAAGGGCGGGCCCTAAGAGGAAAGGCCGGAAGAGGGGCTGGGAGGAGGCGGGGCCTGCGAGGAACGTACCTAAGGAAGAAGGCGGGCGGGAGGCGTGGTTCCGGACTTGGCGGACCCACCCGGCCCTGCCAGCCGTCGACCTTGTGTGCCAAGGACTCCTGAAAGCGCTGAGAGGTTTCTTGTTCTCTGTCTTTCACACGAAAGACCTAATTGCCTCAAAGATGTAGTTCCATGGGCCGGGGAGATGATTCAGTAGAATAAGTACTTGCCTGGCAAGCGCAAGGTCGTGAGTTCAATCCCCAATACCTAAAAAAAAAAAACTTTTATAAAGATGTAGTTCCCAGGGGCTGGAGATCCATTCTCTGTACGAACCAAAAAAAAAAAAAAAAAAAAAAAAAAAAAAAAGGACGTGGTTCCCTTGAAAGGCCATTCTACCCAGGACTCAAGAGCCCTCTTGTGACCCTTGTCTGCCAGGCGCAGCAGTGCGTTCTCAGGTGTCTGGCAGACTTTGCACCTGAGGGCGTCAGCTTCCATTATGTGCCAGCAAGGGGTGCTTATGCGCCCCTCAAGCTTATCTTGGGAGCTATTGGGAACTGGACCCTGGTGAGGCCGCCCAGCCCGTGAGGCTCCAGGAAAAATGCGGTGGCCTGCGAACCCGCTTGGGCTGGAGCCCTGCTTTCACATGGTTCGCTGCCACTGTCATGAACAGCACGGTTCCAAGCATCTGCAGGTCCCCGGCTGGTGTGGTGGCTGCTGCGCGTGTCCTCTGCACGCTGTACCTTATGTTTCAACCATTCACAGCCTCTTGCAGGTCTCTGAAAACGTTTGTGCTAGGATACATTGCCTCGGCCGTGCCTTTGCTTCATTTTTTCCCCTTTTCTCCGAACAACGCATCACCCTCTCTCTTGAGCAGCACCGATTGCTTCCTTTTCTCTAGAGCTTTTTTCCTAGCTCTTAGTAACACATTGTGGTATGTATACCTCCCGAAAGATGGTGTGCTTTCTGAGAGTTGGAATCTGTTAGCCACTTCCATATGCCCAGGGCCAACCTGGTACAGTTTCTGGCTCGCAGAGGATGTTGAATAAATGCTCAGTAAGCAGAGTATCTTTGGACATCTCAGAGAGTGGTTTGTAGTCAGAAAGGTTGAGACTTCCAAGCCAAGAAGCTGGTGAATTGGAAGGGCCTCTTCCACCATATCCACTTCCATTTCACTTTACACTCCAGCCAGTGGGAATCCCTTCCTTCCAGTTTGCTGAAATGTCTTTCCTGTCCCCGCATTTGCAGTTACTGCCGCTTATGACTGTCAGGCTTTTGCTCTCTGCTCAAGAAAACGCTACAGGATTTATTGTCTGTGCTTCATTTCTCCTCGCTCAGTTGTCACCCTGAGGGTCCATCTATTTTTGCATTGTTGATGCATCACTGGAAGTATTCAGCGGTCATTTGTTCCCATGAACAGAGAGCAGTGACCCAAATCAAACCTGACTCCAAATCCCATTTTGCTCATCACATTGCATGGCTGCACCGTGCCCTTCCAAAATTATTGCTGCATCTTTGCCCACTGCTTCCAGCTCATCTTGGCCACATTGTGCTTTGGTTTCTCCTCTGTCCAATTGGCAGGTCTGCAAGGCTGTGCAGGGCTCTTCCTCAGGGACAGCATGAGGACATCCTTGGAACAGGTCCATCTGCCTTGCCCACTGGCCACCATAGTAGCTTTGCAGCTCATAGAATTCTTTGTCCCCTGCAGGCAGGTACCTGGGTCAGGTTGTAGGCAGGCATGGCCTTTCCACCTGTTGCCTTTGCCTGTGCCCTCATCGGGATAAGAGCCTACATGAGACTGCATCTGAAGTCCCCTGGCGCCAACTGAGGTCAACCTCCTTTATGCAGCTGTTGCTGATAACGCCAGATGCCATCTGGTAGGCGTGCTGCTTCCTGCCCATTTTCATATCTACTTTTCCAGCATCTAGCACTTTCTCTTTCACAGCTTCCTATCAATCCTATTCAGGGTTTCACAGCAGCTTCTAGAGAGCCAGTTTCCTTGCTTAATGCACAGTCTGAATTCCAAAGCAGAAAACAGGATCAGTGCTGTTGATCCTTATTCCGTACTCACTTCCCCTCAGTTGGCCTCAGGCTTCTCAACTGAGAAGTGGGAGGAATGACACTTTCCTCATTCTGTGGCTGTGAGGTTATAGAGCAGAGGATGGGGCTGGCACATTGCCCGGGCCTGGTGCCTGCTGGCATTCCTGGCCCTCCTGCAGGGAGAGAGCCTGTAAGATCACCGAGAAGCTGAGTGCTCAACAGGCTTCTGAGGGACCCCTCAGCTACTTGGTGGCTTCTCTGTGCAGCTAGAGCTGACCTGCCTGGGCCTGGCTTAGTCACAAGTCAGGTTCAGGGCACAGGCAGAAAACAAAGGAAAGGAATCCCGGACTGACCGCCTGGACTGAGCTTACGAGCATGGTTCTTACGCTGTGGGTTTGTGAAAGAGCAGCTAGAAAAACACACAAAACCAAAACCAGAATAGAGTGGACAATACCGGTGTTCCATGTGCTGTAGGTATTGCTCTGTGTAACATCTGTTGCTGTTCTATCTATATGTCTGTGTGGCCTCCATGGTGATATTGTTTTTCCAATGGGTCATGGTCAAAGGGATTGAAAGTTCCCGATGACTAGAGTTTTGTTTTGTTTTGTGGAACCGGGGATTAAACTCAGGCCCATTGTGTTTGCCAGGGAAGCGCTTATTCCACTGAGCCATCTCCCCGGCCCCATGATGACTAGAGTTAAGAAGCAGTTGGGAAAAAAAAAAAAAAAAAAAAAAGCAGTTGGCACTGTTTGAAGAACCCTGCATGTATTAATGCATTGACTTCTTCAGGGCTATGGACCTAGGACTGTTACAGCCTCCATCTTACAGATGAGGAAATGCAGGCACGCAAAGATCAAGTAGCTTGTTGTCCATGTCACTCAGAGACTTGGGGCTGCTGGGGTAAACCCAGGGCTTCTCATGTGCTGGGCAAGTGCTCTACCACTGAGCTAAATTTGCAGTCCTTTTTAGAATTTCAAAGGCTAGCCAAATAGCTCAGTGGATTAAAGCACCTGCAAGCAGGCACAGGGGCCAGGGGTTTGATCCCTGGGTCTGCCGTGCTGGCCCTGCCCCTGGAGTATGCTGAGATGGCAATTGATTATGATTATGATTATTATTATGATTATTTTTTGCAGAAGCGGGGATTGAACTCAGGGCCTTGCACTTGCCAGGCAAGTGCTTATTCTACTGAGCCATCTCCCCAGCCCTGAGATGGCAATTGAGACTGGCTGTGGTGGTGCATGCCTGTAATCCCTGCTCTTGGGAAGCTGTAAACAGGCAGATCACTACAAGTCTGATCTAGTAGTGAGACCCTGAACACCCTGTAGACCGTTCCCTAAAATAAAATAAATAAATAATAAAATTTCGAGACAGAGTCTCTCTGAGTTGCCTCAACTGGCTTTGAATTTGTTATCTTCCTGCCTCAGCCTCTGGAGCTGGGATTACAGGTTTGTGTCACTGCCTCATTCAGAAGGTGGAATCCTAAAGATTCCTTACTGTCCCTAGAACTGTCTTTCTTGTCCTGGACTGCTGACTCCTCACCAGGCCCCCAGAAACCAGCCAGCCAGCGTAGGCTATCAGGAGACATGTTTTGAAGATCAATCCTGGGAGAGGGTGCTGGGTGGAGTGGCGGCTGTAGGCACGGGCGCCCACACGATGGCAGTGTGGTTCTCCCAGCCGGGCCCTGCAGGGAGCTGGGCAAGGCCCTGGGATACAGGCTCGCCAGTGCTGCAGGCGTGGATCACAGCGACAGGGTCACAGGACAGTTGCCACTTAGTGGTCCTGTGGAAGAGGGCATCACAGTGCAGGGAAAACCTTGGAAAAAGACAGAGGCCGGTGACTGCGCCTTTAGGGAGAGCTCCTAGTGGGCCTTTGTTTTCGATTTCTATCTTGAGGGTAATGTGATTAAAAAAAAAATTTTTTTTTTGTAGCTTGTTTCACAATCAGCTTGTTTTGTGTTCAGTTGTGACTGACGCTCTCGTGTTTCCAGCTATTGTTACTGGAGGTTGGAGGCAAAATCTTTGGCTCCCAGATCAGAATAGGCCAGGCTTGGCCACCTGCCCCATAATAACAGGGAACAGTGGTGAAAGGCGAGAATGGGCGCTGTAATCAGCATGAGGAGCTGGGAAGGGCAGATAAGGAGCGTCAGGCTCTGGCTTTGGGGCTGGTGGAAGTGCTACGGACAGCTAGGTCAGGCGGGAGTGTTCTAGGCAGCCAGACTGGGCTGGGCCTTTGAAGGAGGCAGCAGAGAAAATGAGAACACATTACAACGGGGGCTGGAGGCGCATGCCTCAAAGGCCAGGCCTCCAAATAGAGACAGAATGAGCAGGCCCCCATGCCTCCCCAAGGGACCAACAGGACATTAAAGATTGTGCTACAGTTGGCATCACCTGGGCCAATGACGTCTAGATAGACATCAGTCGCTCAGGTGGGTGACAGGACCTCCTGACTGGTCTCTGCTAAAAGAGGTCCCGGTTCTTCCCGGGCACACTTGCTGCGTGCATCGCTCCCCACTGGGTCAGCATCACCTAAGCGGCTGGACTTGGCACCTTGTTGGTTCATCATCTGTTGGCCCACGTTGTAGCCACTTCGTGATTTTGTACCCACCTCGTGATAGTGCTCTATAAAACTTCCCTTGAGAAGTGGGCTTGTGGGCACCCATGTCTGGGGAGTAGGAACAGCTTCTGAGAGACACCAGGGGTCCCGAATGGGTTGCCAAGGAGTCCGCCTCTCAAGGGAACCTTTATAGAGTAAAATCATGAGGTGGGTACAACGTGGGCCAACCGATGATC